AGCCGCTGCGCCTGCGCCATGATTTTTCCAACCATTTTGTCTCACACACAAACACACAAATACAGCTATAGAGAGAGAAAGAAAGAGCGTAAGAGAGAGAGAGAGCGCAATTGCTGAATTTCTGAATGGCCAAACGCTGAATTCGCCGCTGTTTGCCAGCTAAAGACCAAAAACGTGCACCAACAAGTGAGGTGAATTTTTACAGAGCGCTCTCTCTCAGTCTCTCTGTGTTTCTCTCACTCTCTCTCTCTCTGCTCTTTCAGCTGTACGCTGCTTAGGCATTTATGGAATGTGAGCGCACAAAAATGCGTTAAAGGTGTTTATAAAATTAAAATTGTGCAAAACAAGTTGCGTGAGAGAGCGAAACACAGAATGAGAGAGAGAGAGCGTAGCTGAGAGAGAGAGAGCGTAGCTGAGAGAGAGAGAGGGAGAGAGTGAGAGGGAGAACTAAAAGAGAGCATGAGATAAATGCAGCTTGATCGCTCCATGTTTAGAAAAAAGTGAATTGATGCAAGAGACAAAGAAAATTGGTGCACAGCGCCTCATACGCTGGCAAGAGAACGGTTACGTAGGGGCAGGCGAGGAAGGGGGTGGGATTACTAGAACTGTATGTGAACGCGCAGTGGACGCAAACCTGCAATAGCAGAGCACACTTGCACCCTCGGCGCAAACCAGTTCAATGGCATTAGAGAGAAGCAGCCGCATAACTTGCCAAATGGGCAGGCCCAAGTTTCAAATCCCCTCCAGTACCTCCTTCGCTACCCTGCCCGCCCAGCAGCCAATTCCTAAGGTGCTGCCACTTTTGTAATTGTGGGAGCCACCAAAATTAGATTTACGTAGATTAGCCAAACAATGCGAAATTACAACAACTACAGCAATAGCAGCAGCAACAAAAATGCAACTAATTTCAGCGCTGGCTGCTGCAGCGACTAAAAAAAAAGAAAAACAAAACAACTTTAGCTGCCAATCTTGAGCAGAGGCGGGGGCGAAGGGGTTCCTAACCAATTGCTAGCACACAGCCAAAGCAACTAGCAGCAGCAGCAGCAACAACAACATGTAATTGCATGTAATTTAGTGTGTAAGTGCAGCAACAACAACTGAAACAACGACTACATGAGCAACAAATCTGAGATGACAACAACACGCTGAACAAATTATGTTGTCTTAGAAATCAACTGATGGCTGCTCAAAGCGGGGGTGGCTAAGCAGGGTGGTATGAAATGGGGGAAATAGGAACGCGCCAGTTGGCGCTCCAATTCGGAATCTCTCCTCTAGCAACAATTCCAGAGTTGGCTCGCTCGCAATTTGCATAATGAGTTTTTAATTTTGTTTTTTGTTTTTGTTTGTCTCGTTCGAATATTAAAGCCGCCTGCTTGGTCGCAAGTTCGTTGTCTAAGTCTTTCGTCTCGCGGAGGCCTCCGAATTAAAGTGTAATTTGGTCAGCCATTAGATGGAGCTCCCAGTAATAGTCAATCTCGAGGTCGCAGTCGCAGTTGGAGTTGGAATTGGAGTTCAACTCGAAGTTAGGCGGCATTTGATCGCCTCTAATTAAATAGCATTTCCGCTTTGAAAATAATACGTATCTGGAGAAATAGGTGTGGCCTAGATGGGAACGGCTAACTCTCGGAATCTCGGTCCCTGTCTCTGTCTCAGCTAGCACCTAGGGCACTGAATTTAGACCAAGTAATATTTGGCATGCGAGTTTCGCTTTTAATTTGGCCCAACAACTTCAATTACGCCAACAAAACACGCTCATCAAATTGGGACTTTCATGTTGGACACACAATTATAGTTATAGTTATGGATATAAAAATTTCCCAGATTTGCTTATAATATGATGTGAAATCCGGCTATTTCATGGGTTAAAAGTTAAAAGTTTGCAACAATAAACTTTAAACCTAATTATAAAAACATAAAGCGATAACTTTCGCTGGAAAACTCTCAGACTGATGAAATTTTAGTTCTCCGATAAGTTTAGCAGCTCTTCTTTGGCATATTCTTGAGAGCATTCAAAGGAGAATACAATCTTGTGCTTGTAGAAGAAGAAGAAGAAGAAGAAGAAGAAGAGGAAGATATAGCGAAATTAAAGTCTCGCTGCGTCTGCTGTTATTGCTGATGAAGCTGCAATTATCCTCAATGATGATGGCGAATTCCATTCGCAGCTCCGATCGATGGAACATCGCGACGACTCATCGCGACAAGCATGCCCCCCGCCTCCCTCTCCATCACTTACGCCCTGCTACTAACCCCTTCCTTGTGTGACCGCCTTGCGCCCACGTGCAGTGCCAAAAGTCGAGCAAACAATGACGAGCAGCTGGCAAAGTATTTGGTGTTCTCACTCGACGGCGGCGACCTCTGATATTTTCGTGTATTTATATTTATTTATTTTTTTTTAGCCAAAAACTGGGCCGACTCGAGGTTTCTTTAGTTAAATATTTGGCTTTTTGTTTCAAGAATTGTACAGTTTATTGTTTGCGTTGGGCCAACCCAAGCGACTATCTCATATTAAATGTATATAGCCAACTTTTTGTTTTCATTTTCTTGTTTTTTAATTTTCTTCAGTTGTGTGTGCCATAAAAAATGTTTAGTTCGGCGTCGTCGTCTCTGTTTGGACCCTTTCCCTGTTTATTTTTTTATTATACTCCAAATTCCGATTTGCGTTTTTTTTTTTCTGGAGGCAGCTTGGACTTTTTATTGTCTTCACAACCACTGATTGGCTTCAATATGAAAAAAGAAGTAACCCGAGCACAACTCTTGTATGTATATTTGTATGTGTGTGTATATGTATGTGTGTGCACCGAATTTAGTTTTTTTTTTTGTGACCGCCGCCGCTTTTATGATTATTGAGCGCCGCGCACTTTGTCTACCCTTACAATCCAGCCTTATATACCCGAGCATCTATCTCTTTCTCAAAACTTTAGATGTGTATCTCAGGTTCAATCAGATTTTGGCTTTTTTTATTGTTATTATTTTTTTGTATTTTTGCGTGAGCCAATTATGCGTTTTGTATTTCTTCGGCTGTCTTGTGTCTGTGTTTTGTGTCTGTGGTTTATATTTGGCTTCGAGGGCTGCGAGAGACGCAACTGATTTTCTTTCATTGTAATTAAGGAAACGTGACTTTTTTCAGATTTCATCGCAAACAGAATTGGCGTTGTTATTTCCAAATTGTTGTTGTTGTTGCTACTTTTTTGGTTGTTGTAGGCTTTAATTTTGTTCATCATTCGCATTTGCTGTTTCTGTTTCGGTTTCTGTTGTGATGATGAGATATGATTTGATTTGATTTGCGGAAATGCCTATGAAATCCAGTCTACATTCAGTAATTGTTAGTAAGTGGTTAAACTTAAATTTTTCGGCTTAACAACAAACTCAGAAAATACACAAAAAAAAAATATATATATATATATATATACATATATGGGAGAAAGATGTTTAAAGTTGACACTACTGAAAACTGTATAGATAAATAATGAGCAATGCTTATTTTTTTTATAGATATGCTATTGGTATTTTTATAAATTGTTCTTGTCGTTTGCGTTGAGTTGAAACTCGTGTTATTAAATTGCTTGGGAAGTTTTTGAAATCATGGCAACATTTTTAGTTGTCTGTTTGTTGCTTTTGTGTTCATAGGCTTTTTTCTGCTATTTTGTAGTGAGAGGCGAGAGACAAGAGAGGTCACATTTGATAGTCCGAACAAAATCTTGTCGACGTTTCGACGTCGCGCATGTAGATATATGTATATCTGTATGTGTGTGTGTGTGTGTTTGTGTGTGTCTGTGAAAGAAGAAAAAATGGGTGATAGAAAGACAGAGACAGGCTGAGACCGAGACTGAGACTGAGTTTGAGAGCTGCCGACCAACAACAGCGAACAAAATGCCTTCGTTAAGCGCTAGAAACGATTTTAGGCCCCATTTCAAGTTGTTGTTGTTGTTGTTGTTATTGCTGTTGTTTTTGTTGCAGTTGTTTCTTTTTGGTTGCCCATTTGTTTTGTGAGCAGGGAAAAATGTTATAAAAATGTAATTACCCGATGATGAATGGATTAACTACAAAAGAGTGAGAAGCCTGCATTGCTTCGGGTGCGGATGGTAACGGGGCAATCGGTGGCATGGGGGATGCTGGATGGTGCGGAAGGGGGGCAGAACGTGGTTGGAAACAATTTGGAATTTGACTGCTTACGAACAAAATATAAAAAAACAGTTAACAAGGAGGAAGTGGCGCCGACAAAGTCATCGAAGTTGATATACTCTTAACAAGAGAGTATTTCCTGTAACTGTATTTCTTGCTAATGATTTATCGATAAATGCTGAGTTATCGAATGGGCTGTTAACAGCTACTAAATATACAACTTTAATATTTTATGTGCTCGTTACAATGTGATTACATTTTTAATATGACCGGTATTTAGGACAATCGATAATAAGAAAGGTGATCGGCTATCGAGTGTTTCCAATCTATCGACAGATAGCTTTGACTTTACTTTACGATTACTTTTACCCTTTTTCTTAACAGGTGCTTAACGAAAAGTCCTTTCTCTTTTGTTTTTGCTAATCATACGAAATCGTATACCGTAACCAAAATTGTCAATAAACAGCTTGGCCTACACCGTTACATAGAGTATGCGCACAAACGGGTGTGTGTGTGTATGTGTGTCTACGAGTCAAGAGATAACAGCAAGCGGCAAGCGGCAAGCAGCAAGTAGCCGAAACGACAGTCGCCTCAATTCCCTACGGATGTCGATGTGTCTTGAGTGATCGGACTGAAAACTTGTTGTTTTTTTCTACTTGGAGACTGACTGGGGGTAATTGATGCATGAGATTAGTTTTGGGTTTTCAAGTACCTTGAATATCCATAAGTGACGCTCGATTGTGTCTGTGTGTTGGCCAGAGAAAATGGGTCAAACAATAGATGGATGGATAAATACTCATGTACTATTTATCTATATAATATATGTATATATATATATATATATATATATAATAAGTAGTCGCTGGCTAATGACTCACCTTAAGTATACACCTGCCCACCGGCTCGTTCTCCGCAACGGAGACATTGTAGAAGCTCTGATCGAATATCGGTTCATTATCGTTGACATCGTGTATGGTGACCAGAACGGTAGCCGTCGAACTAAGCGGTGGTTGTCCGCCATCCCTGGCAATAACAGTTAACTGCGGCACCGGTTCCGTTTCGCAATCGATGTGCGACCGTGTCGTTATCAGGCCAGTCTGTGTATCAATTTGGAACCACTGTGCATGCGTATCGGGCGTATCAGCTAGTGCATAGCTCAGCGCAGCATTGTTGCCCTCGTCGCGATCGCGAGCCTGCACCTGGAGCACCGAGGTGCCCGGATCGGCCACCTCCATGACATTCGCATGATAGACATCCAGCTCAAACTCCGGTGCATTGTCATTGACGTCGGTGACTCGTAGAAAGATCGACTTGGATGCATGCAGTGGTGGTGTGCCCTTATCCGTGGCAATTACGCTTAGAGTATAATTGGAGGTAGCTTCCCGATCCAATGGCAGATTAACTATAACCAAATAGATGCTGTTATCGCGGGTGGTTAGCGCAAAATGTCCATCGCCACCATTCAGAGAGACATTGACATTGGCATATTCTGTCTTCGAGTCTGGATCGTGCACAGAAATGCGTGCAACAAATTCACCCGGTTGCGCTGATTCCGAAATCTTGGGCGAGGCGTCCTCACTCAAGAATATCACATTAATCGTCGGCTGATTATCATTCACGTCCGTCACGCGTATGGAAACAAAGGCAGTCGTCTCCAGCGGCTGCTCACCATGATCCTTGGCCACAACAACAAGCTCGTGCAATTCCTTGGTCTCAAAGTCTAACGGTTTATTAATGTAAACAGCTCCTGTGCGCGCATCGATGCGAAACATTTGCTCCTTATCGCTCTGCCTGCGATTAATCGCATATTCCACAAGGCCATTCTCATCGGCATCCGTATCCGATGCGTAGACTTGCAACACGCTGCTGCCTACTGTGGCATTCTCTGGCACTGTGGCAAAATAGCGACTCTGATTGAATATGGGCTGATTGTCATTCACATCCTGTATGGTTATGTTGACAGTCATCAGTCCACGCAGGGGAGGAGTACCCCCATCGAGTGCCTCTATGAGCAAACTGTAGGCCGGCGTTGTCTCTCGATCGAGAAATCCACTAATCTGCAGATCGAGATAGAGCACTCCATCGCGTTCCCGATGCGAGGAGAGCCGGAAGGCATCGTTCACATTGCCCGAGACAATATTGTAGCGCTGTGTATTATACGGCTCCAGGTCGAGATCTCGAGCCGGCAACAGAGTACGCTTCACCTCACGCGGCGTATTCTCCGGGAACTCAATATGCATCGCTGGCTGTGGAAATGTCGGCGCATTATCATTCTCATCGCGCACCGTGACCACCACACGGACATTCAAGCCACTGAGAGGTATTGCCACCAGACTGTAGGATGCACGCGTCTCCCTATCCAAACGGACCTTGGTGCGTATCTCACCCGTTGTGCGATCAATGGCCAGATCGGTTTCAACGCCCGCCTCGGCGACTATAATGTAGGGCGGTCCACTGTCAATGCTATCGAAATCACCGATATACCCAATCTGATGATCAATGGGCACACCCTCGAAAACCTCGAGACGTCGCTCCCGCTCCTTGTCCGCTGCCGCGCCCGCCGCTGCCAGACTGATCAGACTGCAGGAGACTAGGAGGACTAGCAGCCAGGGCAGCTGCGAGGAGCGGCAGCTGTTTAAATTGGACTGCGAATTGAAATTGGAATTGGCGTTGGCGGGTAATGTTGACCTTGAGCTGTTGTTGGAGCGTCTGGAGCGTCTCCGGCATCTGTGAAACATTGTGTAATCTTTTTGGGGCGTCCGGGGCGTTACTTGCCGCCTGCTTGTTTCACTGCGGTCCTTGTTGCTATTATGGTTGCTGTTGCTGTTGTTGTTCACAGAACTCAAACTCAAAAGCGAACTCGAACTGGAAGTTGTTGTTCTCGAATGCATCGCGTTGGGCTTTTAAATTATTGTTGTTATTTGTGTATCTCTTTTTTGGGTTCTCCCTCCTCGTTATTTGTTGGTATTGCGTGCTAAAAACCCAACATGTCGTTATTCGTGTATCGTCGACTGCGAATGCCCTACGCTACATCCAGCTGTAGACGCCATTTTCAGCTGCAAATGAAAAGAGGAGGAAAGGGAGAAATCAGATTTTGAATATAACAAAGCTTACTGAAATCATTTTAGACTATAAATTAAACAAATAAAGCACTTTCCAATTCCAATTCCAACTTAATTACTCTTTAAAAATATAAGACATTTTTTGAAATGATAAGAAAATAATAAAAAGAAATAATAAAATCGCCTAATAAGTAAAAAGAGTGGCAAGCAGAAGAAAATTTAGATTTTTCATCATTAAAAATCCAACTGAACTAAATTGAGAGATTTTTTGTATACACAAGGAATATCTTTAAAGAAAAAAGTTGTTACCACAGAATTATAGGAAAATATCTGTAGACTAGAACTATCTGTTCGAATTCGAACAGTGTGGCAGCTGCTAATATGGACAAATGGCTGACTATAAACGGAACCACAAACGTGACCAAATAATCCGCTGCCCACGCGATTGGAGACACATGTTGTAGATGTTAGCTGTTCTTGTTCTTTGCCGATGACGAGGCGAGGCGAGGAAGTGGGAGGAGGTGAGGGTGTTTGATAGATGGCAACTAATAGACTGATAACTGCACTAACGCGCTTAACAGACTGATGAAGCTCATCACCTTGATGGCCGAGAGCGGCTTACGCATTGTCCAAGCATTCACAAGATACATTTGAAATTCAAACGAGGGAATGCCGAAAGGCCAATACAGAGACCCAAAGTCGTTGCTGTCGATGTTCTTGAACGAAATGAAGACAAAAGAAGCTTCGGCAGGCAACCAAACAAAACCAAGAAAACTACCTGCGTGCCTGAAAGGTTCAAAGGCTAAAAGGGTCTACTGAGACCCGAGTTCTATGTCTGCAGACTCTGTTCTCGGCTGAAATATTGACGATCTATACTGAAGACAGACATACACACAAATACACACACAGAACACATTTAGAAATCGAACAAATCAAATACTGAAATTGTAGTTTTTATTGTGTTGAGTTGGATTGGGTATAGGTTGGGATCAGCCAAAGAATCGAAAAGAGATAGACTGATTGAGTGATTGAGTGAGAGAGAGTTTCAGCTGCGAGCTGTGCGCACGGCTGAACGGCAAATTCGTGGTCAACAATTTAGTTAACAAGACCATGACTAACACTTTTCACATTCGGTACATTCAAGTGGCCCCAAAAACAAAAAATAACCACAACAACTACTCGCTGTGCGACGACTGCTGCAATTTTCAAGATTTTTCTCTCGCGATAAGCCAAAAAAAAAAAAAAAAACGAAAGAAATACAAAAAATGGAAAACAGAAAGAAAATAAGGGCAGTATAAATGGCATTGCTGAGCACATTGCTGAACTTGTAAATACCCTCTACTTAAGTAATATAAATGATGTACTGAACCAGTTCAAATGTGAACAGATCACAACAGGATATAAAAAGTAATTCGTCTAATATTACAATTATATTTAAATTGCATGATAATAGTGATATTCCTATATAATAGTAATTTGGACGTAATACACACAATAACCTTATAATCTCTGAGATCAAGTATAGTCAAAGTCAGTCACATATGTCTGAGGATATTGTAAAGTTTTCGAAAGTACCATATAAATAATTATGTTTATATCTCATAACTACGTTGCCATAGTTAGTAATAGTCATAGTTATTATTAATATTCATGCCCCAATAAATAAATAGCTACAGGGTATAATTATGATTATTTGTTTGTGTCAGCAACGCAACTGGGGGAAATGACCCATAAAGAAATTTGTTATTTTCACATGGTATACTAAATGGGTTCGTGATGTTCCTCGCAGATAGATCGTTGATCGTATCTTTTTGGTGCCTAAAATAAAAAAAAGATGCCGGCTCATCGACAGATGATCACAGGATCAGAATGAAAGTAGAAAGCCAGCAATTAAAAGTGAATTAATGAATATGCAAGCTACAACTGCATTGTGAAATGTCCCAGACAGAAAGGCAGAGACAGAGATAGAGACATGGATTCAGTTGTGCAACGCTTAATACATTGAGTTCAGGAAGTTGTACTGCGTGTCCATCAGGCCTCTAATAGCTTAATAATGATGGTCACTACTTTCCTGGGATCGGTGCCATGACATGAGATATAATTTAATAAACTGCAAATGTGCAGAAAAAAGAAACAAATCAAGAAAGCACATCTATCATAGTTACACCGACGATTTCATACCCTTGTGTATCGAAATGAATCTGCTGACATTTAAATTTATAATATTTATTATAATGTTTTGGTTTTTCTGTTTCACTACAGACTGTGAACTGAATATTCCACATTTCCGTAGATATATCTAAAAAATTGTCACAAACTTGTCTACTTGTTATCTTATAAAAAATTGTCACAACCTTGTCTACTTGTTATCTTCCGATCGATTTTTTCAGATAATGGTTTATGTTTTCAAGTGTGAGGAATATAACAACAGGCATATCTTGTTAGTTTAACTAGGTTTCTTCAATAAAAAGTGCACTACCAATTCTTTGAAAAACTATAAGCTCGGCTGTTCATTCTTAATAAGAATAAATATATATAACACTTTCTGTTGTCGGAGATGTTTCCTTCAATGACTTACAAATTAGACGAGTAAATTATGATACCTTCTAGAAGGGTATAACAAGAAACAGTAGACATGAACCCCCGGCTCTGCCTGGGACCAACTTGACACTTGATGGGACCGCCATACGCAAATTACCTCTGGGAGTTTGGCATTTGGATATTTAGCTGCTGCTGCTGCTGCTGCTTGAGTTGCGGCTACTGCGGAAACGTCAGTTTGATTTGCGCTTGTCAAAAGTTAAGATGAACTCCTAATACCCAAACACATAGGAAAGCGCAACGAGCGTAGCACCAACGGGCGCCGCTCACTCTCTGATGGACTGCCCACTTACTTAGAATAGTACCTACACTGAGAAAAAATATGTGCACTACAAGCATCTTCTAATAACTAACAATATTACTTTTCGAGCACAAAATTTTTAACTTTACATTTTACTCTATGACTTTTTTTCGAGTGTAGTTCCGTGTGTGGTTCCCTGACACCCTGTTGGAGTGCCTGATGCGGATTTTTGCCTGTGCTCCCGGTCTCTCATATCTCTTTCATATTAACAATTATTACTTTTCCTGGGACTGAATTTTTTGTTTTATTTTTGATTTGAAAACATCGTTCTGCGCGCTCGTAAAGCAACGAACCGGTCCAAGTTGTGCTCAGCTCTCAGTCCACTGATCACAGAGCTGGGCGTTAATAAAATCTACTTAATGGCAAATAAAAGTTACCACAAATACTATATAGCCATAGCTCCATCCGCGTGGTATATACTACCATGTAGTATGTATACCATACAAAACAATAACGAAAAGCGCATAAAGTTTACGGCTCAACTAATTAACAACGAAAAACGAGGAAACGAGGACCGAAGAAAACGCCGACTCTAGATTCCCTTGACTCTCGATTCTGGACTCTCGACTGGTGGGCACAGCGGAAACTGAACACTCTGCTCAGTTTGCCTTGATATCAAATACATAAAACATCAACAAGAAGACGCTGATCGCTGAAGCAAGCAATTGGAGCAGCCAAGGAGCTAAGCTCTCAGCGGAGGCATCTGTTTATCTCCCGGGCAGGAAAAGATACCGACAATGTTTAACTTGATGAGCACTACACATATTTGATGTTCCTTAAGTTTCTTTAATTGTCTATTTGAACGAGCAAAACAAACAGTATCAACTGAGTTTTTAAATGCGAGAATACCCCAACAGGCTACAGGAAATATGTTGACTTAGATCATTAATCCCAAACTTACAGTTTTTTTGTACTTCAGAGCATTATTCTTTAGATAGTAATAACTAGGGAATTAAAAAATAACTACATTATTTTATAGTTTGTTGGTAAAGAAACGTGCCAGAAAATCAACTTGTTGTATAGTTGTTGCTGCTCTCGTTGTTATCGTTGTTGTTGTAGCTGTAGTGTGTTCATGATTTAACTCCAAATTATGCAAAATTGTTGTCTAAAACCGTCGGCTAAGTAGGTGGTAAGTAGCGCTTTAGAGCGTGTTTAATTAAATGTTGAGTAATTTATGAAATGTGAGAGATGAAGCTTGTTCAGTACTCACTAATGGAGATGGGGGAAACAGAACGGAGCAGAGCAGGGGGTACTGTGAGTTGTAGGCTGCTGTTAATTAGTTATTTCTAATGGCTTTCTAATTGCCTTACACGAGCTCAAGCTGTAGTCTTGCAGCAGCTAAAAGCAATAACATTATATTGTCTGCATATTAATTGGGCTAATTAAAATGCAAATCTCTGCCTTGTTGAGTGTCTGTGACACACACACACACACACCCAGAGCTGGATCAAGCGGACCGAGTCCGGCCAGTTGCAACTATGAAAGCGTGAAGTTCGCATGTGATTTTCTACTAGAAAAAGTGCGAAAATGCAAGTGAACGCCAACGCTAGCACAGCAATAACAATAACAATAACAATAAAACACCTCTGCCCGACCAGCAGAGCACGAAACTGTTTTTCATTTTCATTTCGATTTTCACTTTAGGGTTTCGCTTTCGAGCGCAAGTTGTGTGTAAATAGTAAGTAATGGTTGTCTTATTTTTAAGTATGCCTAAATCACTAGTGATTTATTATACTTATTATTTGATTTATTGCCGATACTTATCTATGCGGCAATGAATAATGAAAGAGTTATTTGATCATAACTTTGTTAATTTGGCATTACTATTAGAAATTTACTGTATTTCTTTACATAGTCGACGTTATCAAATCTATTATTTATCATTTAATATAATGTTAGATCACTTCTGATTAATATAGTCAGTAATTGGCATCAAAGTAACACTTGAAATATTTATATTCAATAGTTAGCCAAGAAAAGATGATAAAAAAAAGTTTCCCCTAATAAATTCCAGGCTTGGCGTGAAAATGTAGGAATTTGTCAGTTCAGGTCCCAGAGTTTCCCCCAACAGGTTAGTCTACTTGGTCTATTTGACTCACATCATAATTAAGTGTCATTGATTAGCGGCATTTATTATATAATTTATCATATCTTATCGGGAATACAGCGTCCGTCAAGAACGTCACGTCAATTGCAGTAATATGAAAAAACGCTCACACAGATTGCAAACTCGAAGAAGAACCGAAACTGAACCTGATACTTATACTGTGAACTGGATACAGAATCCGAATGGGTTGTCATTGCTGCCTCGCTTCTAATCTTGAGTGGTGCTGAGGTGGCTGCTGATGCTGCACCTGCTCCACAGTCTGAGGTTTGGTGTGTTTCCGTTGATGCGGTTTATGATGCTGCGCCCCTTTCGCGTTTTGTTTATATGGGATATTAATAGATTTGCGCGAAGCGGAAGCTTTCATACATGAATACACAATATTATTGTTGTCTTGCAGCCAAAAGCATTTAGCAATTATTGTCATGGTCTGTGTGTGTGTTTTTGTGTGTATGTTTTGGCCATTGTTTGGCATGATTTTTATGACCCGCTGCCGGTCATAAAACTGCAAAAATCTGTTAACTGATGATTAGTCCAAACGAGAAGCTAATCCCGACAAGCGTTCGTTAACCCGAGCTACGCCAGCTGCCATAAAAAAAAACCTATACGAATATTTTTTCGATCGAAATCTTTAAAATTTGTAACGTAAAATATATATATATATTGCAATTAAGTGTGCTGGGGTCTCTATTAAAAGGAATGGTGACCCCAGCTAAAGCAATCAAGTGTTGCTTGATCGAGACTTGATCGATGACAAATGAAAGAGTCGAACAACTTTGCATCCTCACCGAAGGCACCAAAGACACTTGTTATATGCGCAACAGCTTTATTGGCTAGAATATCATGCTTTACGATCACTATTCTTCTTGTTGTTGTTATTATGGCCCTGGCCTAATCTAGACTTAATTTGATATCTCTCGTTTCTAGTCTATTCAGCGTGCAATATATACAGACACACATGTAGGTCATAAAACTAAATTCCAAACTGTGAGCTTCATCATAAACAAGTAGGAAATCTCGACTAAGAGATATCTTCTACTAGTTTTATTTAATTTATGTTATTTATACTTAAGTTGAGTTCGTTAAGCAGCACAGCATATAAAACACCCTGTGCTTAAAACTCTCTAATAACGCCCTTACTTTACTAGTTTCTTGTTTTCATTTATTTATTTCTTTTTGGAAATACATTCTTTTTTTGCAAGTTCGTTGCCTAAGTCTTTCGTTACGATTGTGACATTAGAAGAAAAAAAGTTTGTAGTTGGCTTATGAGACAGCTTGTTGTGTTTCCTATCTTTTTAAACCATGTGCACAATTTTATGATACCAATTTTTTTTCTTAATCAATTCTGGTGGTAATGTGCACATTTGCAGCGACTACCAATTAGAGCTGCACTGAAATTAACATTGTGTTATATGATTATCGTATGTGTAGAAAAATACATACATTTATATCATATGAATGTGTATGTATGTTTGTATATTCGAAGTTAGCCCGGAGGAGCTGAGGCCTGGCGGCAACATAATTCGCATAACCATAATACCCACCCCGCCACCTCCCCACCATCCATCGCCATGGTTTGTGGTTGATTGTGGATGAAGACACTTGCACAAAACGATGAACATATTCCAAACTTAATCACAGGCTAGCACATTCGTATGTCGGCGATGCCAACTCGCATGAGGCACAAGAAAGAAATTAGCGCCAGCGCTGCTAAAGGCAGCGGGCAGCTTAGCGGGTGTTTCTTAATACCTGCTTGGAGGAGCAGGTGCCAGCCAGTCAGCTAGCCTACCAGTCAGCCCGTCCGTCAGTTCCTGATGTGGAGAACATAGAACATACGAAATAGGGGACAAGTGTGCGCATTTTCCAACAAAGCAACGTAATTTTCTTTGGCATGGCGCACGAAGCGTGTGTGTGGTCCACAAGCAAAAAGAAGGGCAGCTGATGCCGGTTGTACGTCAGTGTGTGTAAAAAACGATTAAAGCGTAACTTTTGTGTTTGTATATTGCTAATCATTGCGGCAATTAGACGTGAGCAGCAAACGGCACGAACAACTTTAGCAATTTAAAGCGCATTAAATTTCGTTTTGCAAGTTTGCTGCCTAAGTCTTTCGTTCTGTCGCTGCACTACCGCATACATCACAAAAGAAAAGCACCCTCACCTGACGACAGTCAGACGCATTGGTGCATAAAGATTAAAAGAAAATGAAGGCATTAGGTTTTCTGCTGATAAGGCATAAATAATATGCAGAGCAGTTGAGTGCATTTTTTCTCTGTTTTTGTTGTTGTGTGAAGCGTACGAAATGAAAATGGGAAATGAAAATTATATTTTGTTTGCTTTTGCTTTTGCTTTTGGTTTGGCCGCCGCTTGCCGTTTGCCGCTATGCCGCCTTTGGTCGTTTGCCGACAGATGCGAGATCTTTTTCTCTGAGAGTGTGTGTGTGTGTATTGGAAGGAAGTGTAAATTAAGGGCCATAAAAGTAACTCGCTCTTAACTGCAGCAATTGACCCATTGTTGGCCTAAATGTTTTCCGTAGTCATTTTCAGCGTGTCTGTCTCTCTCTCTCTCTCTCTCTCTCTCTTAATATCAAGCTATTTTGGCTTTTAGCAGCAACTCGAAAATTAGTTTATAAGTGCTTGCACACACCTCACACACACTCACAACTGCCTGCCATCTTATAATAATTTCATGTAATTTTAAAAGGAAAATTTAATGCACTTTTTAATGGACATTAACATTAAAAAATCCGAACACGACAGCATAAACACTTCCTGAGTCTTTTTTCATTTCTTTTCTTTTTTTGTATGACACCTCAAAAACTCCATATACTATAAAGTGAACTACAAAACGTTGAAAAGAAAAAAACAGAAATGCCTTCAGGTAAGCTGTGAGTTTTTCCAGGTATTTTGCGCGTTTGGCGACAGTTTTGCGCAGTCAACTCACGTATTGCTCGATAGATAACGATAAGTCACAGTTCGAAGAGATTAAGTACCGATATTTGTTGCGTGTGTGCGTGTGTAAAACAGGTAGAAATACTTCAATTCAAATTCAATAGCCGAAAAATCTCTCGCATCGAATTCTAAACTCTGTGTGTGTGTTTTTCACATTTTCCCAACAAAGCCGTTGCCGAAGGCGAATGATGAAAAGACGAGCAGTAGGTAAGCGTAGAAGAAGAACAAGATAGAAGAGGTAGTCTAACACAGTCAAAGTGTGTGTGAGTGTGTTTTTTCTGCCTTTTCATTTTGTGTACATTATCTACGGCCATTTGGGCTCTCTTCTGTCCATTTAACGAGTTAAATTCGATTACCAATTTGACTATTTCAAGTTGTTTTCACTGCTGCCGCGTTTGTTGTTGTTTGGTTTGTTGGTTGTTGCTACCTTTTACCTTATTGTACAGCTAATTGGGCTGCGCAACTTTCCCGTTTTAGCCAAGCAAAACCCATTAAAGACTACAATACGTACATTGATGAATACATTGAATAAACATTCATGCTCAACTTTGAGTACTTTTGACTACTTTTTCGCTGTTTTCTCAGCTTTTCCTTCTTAACAAAAATAAACAAATACGCTTTAGCAATTTTGGGTATTTTGACACGGTTTTGTAGATGTGTTGGTCTAGTTATTAATTATTATTATTCTTATGTGCAATCCAGCTTACTGGCTTATTACATGACTACTGCTCTTATTGATTATTTATTCATATTATTTGTCTTTTTATATTCTTGCTTACATTTTGTGGCTAAATGCTGTCAATATTTTTCACCAAAGGCGCAAACAACAAAACTTGCTGCCTGCCACTGCCACCAAATGCGACGTTGAGTCGATTTGTTGTTCTTGTTGTTGTTGTAGCTGCTGCTGCTGGCCACACGGCCAAAGCGAGCCAAAAGAACTCGTTTGACTTGTTGAACAATATTTCTTTTCGCCTTTTTCTGGTTTATTTCTTATATTTTTGTTGTTGTTGAATTTTTTTTCTTTTGATTATATATTTTTGGTGTGTGTATTTTGTTGTTGTCGTTGTTGCCGTTGTAGGGTGGACACACACACACACTAACACACGCGCAGAGACTCGCACACATACACACACACCGGGCGACAGAGAGAGAGAGAGAGAGAGAGAGAGACAGACAGATACTGGGAAATTCTTGCAATTTAATTAAAATGCAAATATTGCGATTTTCTTTACAATCGACATCGATTAACTTTGTTGCACACTCTTCGCAGTTGTCTCAAACTCAGTCAAACTTGGACTTGGATTCAGATTCCGTTTCTTATATATATATATATATATTTTTTACATTTTTGCTGCACGGCGAAGCGACGAAAAGCGCGACGGCGACGACGACGACGGCGACGAAGATCGCAACGAGCGCGACGAAAAAAAGCGGCGACAACGAGAACAGCAAGGGACCCGGAACGCAGAGGGGCAAGTGGGGCAAGAGACGAGAGACGCCTTCTGCTTTTTGTTGTTGATGTTGCTTAGAATTTTTCTTCAACTTGTATTTTTCTTTTTTGATTTTGTTGAATGCAGCAATTGTTGTTTACATGCAGATTCAACAAAATTGTGTTGCACTTGTCTACACTTTAGCACTTGTTATCGATAAAGTCGTTATCGATTTCCGATTGGAATTTTGTTGATTCTGTTGTTGTTGCGACGCGACGATGGCGACAACAGCGACAAGAGTTGCGTTTAATCCGCTCGCTGCTAGTGCTCAATGTTTCGGCGACGAAAACAAACGACAGACTGAATTCGAGACAACAAACGAGGCGCTCTCCAAAGCAGCAGCAGCAGCAAGCAGCGTCCAAGAGATGCCGCAAATGCCGCAAAACTCACCTGTGTGTGGTCAAGTGCATGTGGCAAGCTGTGGTGAGCTGCCGCCTGAGAGAGCAGACCAGAGCGAGCTGTGTGTGCGTGCTGGTGTGTGTTGGTATGTGTGTGGTGTGTTGACGTGCAAGAAACTCAACAAAAGTGGTTTGGTCGGTTTCTTTGCCAGAGAGAGAGACATAGAGAGGGAGAGAGAGAGCGCCCTCAGCATCTCTCAGCACGCGGTCTTCTTGGCCTGCATCATATGCCAATTGCATATGAATACCAAAACGTAGACACTCAGCATCCCAAAAAACAAGACAAGAATTTTAAAAACTCTCCTCCCCTCCCACCCCCTCCCCAACCATCAACGGGCACTATACAGCGACGACAGGTCCACAATTAGCCTCAAAGAGAGATTGACCAAGAGAGAGAGAGAGCAAGTATATGCTGAGAGCACCCACACGCAATTGCGATAGTCGTGCTCAAATCGTGCCTATCTCTTCTCTCTTTCTCTCTCTGTCAATAAAAGCATAAAAGTCAAGTCCAGCAATGCACCCAACGCCTTGCCAAGTGTGTGCTGCCCACAAAAAACACACACACACGCAAACACAGGCATGTAAATTAGCTATACACACACACACACACATACGCACACAAAACGAGCGAGAGAGAATGAGCGAGATCATTGGAGCATAAACCGGTTTTTTGTTCGCTCTCTGACAAATGCTCACCTGTATACAAGTTCACTCAATGTTGTTGTTGGGTTATGTTTGCCGCCGAGTGGTGCAGTGGTGAAGTGGTTGTGTGGAGTGCGCTTTGGCGTTGAGTGTTTGGTATGCTGAGCATACCTCAACAGACCCTCCTGCTTATACCCCACCCTACCGTGCCCCCGCAGTTGCCACCATCCTTCTGTTATTGTTTGTTGCTGCTACCAAAATTGGAAGCTGCAGCAACAACAGCAACAACAACAACAACAACAATGCTGCGCATTAACAGTCACATTGTGTGTCTTACGCAACATGTGCGAATTTGGCGCCCCCTAAAAATAAAATAATGCAACAACATTAGCAGTATTTGTGCGTGTGTGTGTTTGTGTGTGTGTGTGTGTGTGTACAACTAGCTAGGGAGACCCGACCCAACCCAAGCCATCCCATCCCAGCTTAGCTACAAAGACTCAACTATCCAACTCTGCAAAACTCTGGTTACTTTGGCCAAAAGGACCACCATAGATCCCATAGTGTAGATTCCGATTCCGCAGAATTCTCAAGCATTCGCCAATTCTGCAATTTGTCTGGGAATCGTACACGAAATGTGCGTGCCATCGTCAGTTGTTGTTGTTACTCTGTTGTTATTATACGCTGTTCCCCAAAAGAGGCTAAGGGGGTATATTGGGTTTCTTATCTGTCCCATTGCCAAATTCTAGAGTTCCAGGCATTTGTGAACAAAAGTGTTGAATGTGGGGATGGTTATTGAAGATGGCAGCAAAAATAAGTCAGCTAAATGCTTGTTAGAGTAGTCAAATAGTCTTAAATATTTAAAAGTGACCTTCTTTAAGGATCCAAAATATATTTATAGCCTTCAAAACTGAAAAATATTTATAAGAACTCTATAAACTCAATGTAAAAGCCACAACATTCATTTTTACTGTAACCACTGTTTTAACCAAATAATTTTAACTAGTTGTGTTTTTGCGGGATTTTATTTTACTGTTTACAGTGTAACTTTTAGTCGTGCTCTTTTAAATGAATAATGTTTACTTATTGTGTGTTTACTAGGATTTTATTTTTTATTTATTTTTTTGGTGGAATGTACGTTGGTGGCACAAGCTCTCAACTCTCAACTGAAATTTTGTTAGTCGGCGTCGTTAGCGCAATTTGAGGTCGAGCATTTAAGCATTTGGCCATTTGTGTTCTGTGCCGCTTGTCAAAACTCTAAATGACGTCGCTTAGCTGTCAGCTTGCATTTGCACTTTGAAATGAATGAGTCGCACACAAAGTCAGAGCAACAACAACAGCAACAGCAACCGCAACAACAACAGCAACAACAACAACGAGAGCGACACTTTGACAGCCACTTGAAAAGCACAGCGCAACATTCAGATTTATATGTACAAGTGTGTATACAGCATATATGCGACTTGTATATCTCAATGTGTGCCGAATGATCGGCGATCATTAATCGAAGCCACCCACCCACACACTGAGTGTTAAAGCCAGAGCCCCCACTGCGGTGGAGTACACTCTAAAAAATATGACAAATAAAATTGCAATTTGAAACTGCAAGTTATATATATGTATAGAAATTGTTAAATTTCAGCATTTTTTATGTAAACAAAATGTATTTTGTTAATAAATAATATGTACCATTTAAATGGTAAAAAGCAAAAAAAAAAAAATTTATTTCCGGTTTTCAGAGCAGTTTTCCAAGTGTAGCGCAGCGAGTGGTGGGTGAAGGGGGTATAAGCATATCAGGTAATGGTAATGGCAATGGACACAATTGTGCTGCAAAATTGAGATGGATTTATGTTTGGCTTTTGAATGCAGGCAACATCAGCAGCAGCAGGCAGCTGCTATCTATCTATCTACAATATTTGGCAGCGCATCCAGATCTTGGAGTCTCGCCTGTCGTCGAGCATGTGACGACATTTGAAATCTTGGCGTTTAGCAAAATGAACATACAACCAGGCGAATCGAATAGAATCTGGGTTCCTGGTTCTTGGCCAACATCATGCACGCGCTGTTATGGGCCCACACAAAACGATGAATCGCAAATACGTAAAACTTAACGAATCCGATGCGGAATCCATCATGCAAGTTATATGCAAAACTAACGTATATCAACAAAAAAAAAAGCGCAGTATACAGCTAAACAGCTCACAAGACATGGGGGAGGGGGGAGGGGGAAAGCAGTAAGGTGGGGTCTTTGCGCCGTTGTTGTTCAAGTTTGCTCGTGGTGGATGATGCCACCAGCCGGGCCATTTATTCGCCTCGAAAGTCAATAGCTTGCCGTCTCTGTCTCCACCTCTGACTCTGTCTCCTTCTCTGTCGTCGCGATCGTCGCTTCGGTCGCATCCTTGGAATCATCATCGTCATCAACAACTGCAAACAACATTCGCCTGTCAGCGGCAACATCATAAATTGTTGTTCTGCCACATGTTGCTGTTGCCAGTGTTGCACTGCAAACAAGGCTCCTTCCTCTGCGACAGCGGCTGCGGCTGCCGCTGCTGCTGCACCGTTCGCATACATTCTGTGTTTCCTTGGCTTTTTATACCCTGTATTTCATGCCACAAAATGGATGTGGCTCATGGAATGAAACCTCTTCTATCTTATAGAGCAAGTATTCTCAACTGTCCTGATTTCAATCACTTTTTGGTTACAAGAAAGACATATGAAATATTAATTATAGTTTTGTTTTTTTTTTTAGATAAAAAGAATTTAATCACATATTTCTGATATCCGGTTTAAAGTTAGTTAACCAAATTACTTCTCTGTTAAGATGATTATAATTTAACTTGCTAGATTCGCTATATGCATAAAAAATATATTAAAATGCTTGAAATGTTTCTTAAATATGATAATTAAATAAAATTGGTCATAAGTCAGCCGACGGCATCAATGAACTTGTTGTTGTATATTTTGCAGCAAAAAAAAACTTTAATTAGAATATAAATTTGACTAAGTCGACAGAGTATTTTTTATTCGAAACACGATCAAGTTCAGGGTATATGTTAGTCGATCATTCGCGACTAAAGCCTCATTCCAAATTTTGCTGATGATGTTGTTTGTTATGAGACAGTGGGCATTCTAATTCTCTCAAATCGTTTGTAAATTTATCCACCCCATTTGCATAAATTTAGATGCATCGATCTTAGCCAATAAACTCAGGGTATCTATTTAATGAGTTACAGTCGCAAAAGGCAAAATACAAGAAGTGGAGCTGCATGAGAGTTATCTAATGAATAACCAGTCGCAGCTTAAGAACTTCACCAATGATGAGACGAA